ATTATATGCTCATTGTTAAGATTGAGTGTGATCTAAGAGGCTTTTTTTTTTTTTTGTCAAGAAATGTATGTTAGGAAATATTAGGGCCATTCAAGATGTATACTCGAAGCCCATTGATACTTTCATGTCACACACTAAGTCTCAATATTTGTCGAAAAACAGACGCTGGGAAAGATAAGATACCATGTGTACCACATGTGAGCAACATGCAATCCAATATATGTCATGCTATGTATGAAACAAGATATTAGTCACGGTTTAGGACTAGTATGTCGCTACCAAAAAGTCATGGAGGATATTCGTGAAAGTTTGACCAAAGTTATGGAAGATATTCGAATTGAAGTATATGAAATGAATCAACTGTTACAACGGTTGGAGAACTATTTTCGTCGTGAAGAGGGTTCTTGAAACCATATAAATCTTGCACCGGTAGTCCCACAACAACCCAAAGTACTGATCCTGATCTTAACGATAAAATTTACAAGCAAAATCCACTTCCTATAGAGCATCCATGAGATTTTGGTATTAAAGTGGATCTCTCAAAATTTCATGATCCAGGGTGTTCATTGATCACATATGGCGCTTCTTTGGAGCTGGGTCTATTCCTAGTCAAGAATAATTAGTCCAACTCGTATTCAATAATTCGTCTTGTAACAAAGTCACGAACCTTATGTTCTTTGAGGTGCCAGTTGGCGTAGGGTATTCATAGACCAACAAAATTAAAGAAAAAGTGATACGACACATGGTGGGACTACATCACCAATTAGTCGATTGGCTTCAAGCTCAAGGTTGAGCTTCTCCTAATCCCGAGAGAATGATGCAGAAAGAAATTAGGAAAATTTAAAAATTTAGTTTTATTATTATTTTTGTTTATTTTTCTTAAGTATAGGAATGTCTTTGGGATAAGTTAAGTGGGAGGATTTTTGTACGTGAGTTTTAGGATGAGCCTGAGTTGTCACCCATGAATGCCAATATTTTGGTTTTAGGAAATAACTTATATTTTAAGATAGGTAGAAGTTATATTTTATTATCTTTTAGAAAAGAGAAGATAAGGGAGATAACATGAAATCTAGAGAGGTAGATGGAGAAAGAGACTTACGTGGGAGTTAAAGAGAAAGAGATAAGAAAGAGTTTATTCTTTTATTGGTCATTTTATTTATTTATTTTAAGTATTTTAAAGAGAAGAAGTCCCTCTTTGTATACAAGAGAGATTGGAATTGAGTAAAGAGTTGATCATGTGAAAATATCTTATTGGGATGGACTCTGATGCAGACCTAGAGATGGTATATTCTCTCATCATTTATTCTTATTTTCATTTTAATTATTTTCTTCCTTCCATCTTCCCTGCATCAATTGGTATCAGAGCAAGTAAGATTCAGGTTTTTACAATGCCACCAAAAGCTAATCATCCTATGGATGATTGCTTGGGATAAGCTTTAGAAAGTTTGACTGAAGTCATGGAGGATGTTTGTGGAAGTTAGTCCAAACTCATGTAGGATGTTCGAACCGAAGTACGTAAAATGAATCAGCAGTTACAATGATTGGAGAACAATGTTCGTTGCGAAGAGGGTGCTTATAACCACATCGATCCTGCACCAGTAGTCTCACAACAAACCTAGAGTACTGATCCTGATCGTAATGAAAAAAATTACAGGAAAGATCCTCTTCCTATAGAATGTCTACGAGATTTTGGTATTAAAGTGGATCTCCAAAAATTTCATGGTCCAGGGTGTTCATCGATTGCATATGGTGATTCTTTAGCACTAGGCCCATTCATGGTTAGGAATAATTAGTCCAAGCTTATATTCAACATTTACTCTTGGAACAAAGTCACGAACCTTCTATTTTTTGAGGCGCCAGTTAGCGTAGGCTATTCATACACCAACAAAAGTGAAGAAAAAATGTCGTGACGCATGGTGGAACTACATCACCAGTTAGTCGATTGGCTTCAAGCTCGAGGTCGAGCTTCTCCCAACTGGGGAGAATGATGCAGAAAGAAATTTGAAAAATTCAAAATTTTAGTATAATTATTATTTTATTCATTTTTATTAGGAATAGGACTTTCGTTGGGATAAGTTACGTGGAAGGATATTTATGCGTGATTTTTAGGAGGGGCTTGAGTTGTCACCCTGGAATGCCTATCTTTTGATTTAGGAAATAGCTTATCTTTTAAGATAAGTAGAAATTTTCTTTTATTATCTTTTTTAGAAAGAGAAGATAACATGAGATTTGGAGAGAGAGATGGAGATAGAGACTTACATGAGAGTTAAAGTGAAAGAGATAAGAGCGAGTTTATTTTTTTTATCGGTTGTTTTACTTATATATTTTTCAGTAGTTTAAAGAAAAGAAGTCCTTCATTATAAACAAGAGATATTGGACTTTAGTAAATAGTTGATCTTGTGAAAAGATCTTTTTGGGTATGGACTCCTTTGCAGACCCAGAGAGAGGACATATTCTCTCATCCTTTATTCTTATTTTTATAGTAATTATTTTCTTCCCTCAATCTTCCCTACATCACATTCACACTAGCATGTTATGACACATGGTCGTTGTAAGATAAATTATCAGTAGGCTTGGTTCGCTTCTCACACAATGTTGACCGCCGAAATATTGGAGGATGTGATACACACAAGGCGTGTGAGTATGGCCTTGATGAGAGACCCATATAAGGTTTCATGGATCGGAATCGACGTGATCTACAGATGTCCCACCTAATTACGTGGCTTGTATAATAGTCAGGTGTGAACCGTGGATGTTTAGGTTAGGTGCTTGGGTACGACCCTAATGCGTCCTGGGGGCGACATGATGCATAGCTGTGATGGAACTAGGACCTGTATGGCATAAAGCCAACATAGATCCTAGTATTTTGAATATTTACATAATGGCATATGACTCATACCGCATGTGCTTAGCGAGATCATCATTACTTTATATATAGAGGCGTACTGGTCGATCCTTATTCTTTATCACATAGAGCAAGAATAGCTCGTCACTGTGTGATATTGGGTGCCTTCAAAGACCCTGAGACTATATTAAGAAGTGGAGGCTTGATGTCGCAACTTTACCATTTTCCCCCATGGTCATGTGTGATTATGTTGGATGAGAGCACAACTAGGGAAGTATTTAAGTCAAAATGTATAATAGTAGGGTTGGGGGAAGACTTTTGGCATCATACTACAGTTGGTGCCTAGAGAACAGTGCACAATATTATGCTCACCAGATAATGGTCGACATCAAAGTTTTATTATTCTTTTGCAAAAATATTTTGGGAAAGTATATTATATTATTTACAAATTAAATGTTTAGTATGCATGAGTACTATATTTCCTTAGATGAGCTAGATGTGTGAGTCTGGATGAAGGGTTTGAGTAGTCTCTTGAGCATTAAATAGCTTGTGAGGGATTAGTTAAGATGCTTAATCTGGTATGATAAGTGAGTCTAGGTTAGGATGAAGCTGATTTAGATAAGAGAGAGGAGGTGTTCCACATTAGTTTGATGAAACTCAATATACTTTTCCCTACAAAGATGTATTGTTCCTCAAGGTCTCACAATGCATTTCCTTGGTAGTGTCTGAGATAGGTTTTGCATTCTGATGCATCACAAGTAGAGGTTGAGGACTGTCATCTTTTATGTGCACCCAATATGAGGCGAGAGAGAGGTGTTGCGTGTGGAATGTCTGCCCCTTAATTGGTGGAAGGACCACATGGTATTGCTTTGGTTGTTAAGGGTTGGGGAAATGGGGAATCTCTTTAGATAGAGATTGTGATCCTGGTTATTTGGATAACAACTTATGGGATAGAAACTTAGGAATAGGAACCCCTTTATGTAAAAGAGTTTGTAGAGGGATATAAGGTCTCTTGTTTTTGGTTCTAGGAGAGTTATATAAAGCTCCATTGAGTCCTTCCCATCTCTCGAAAAAGTTCAGGGACAGACCCACATACCCACTCATTATTCTTTCCTTCCTATCTCACCGTAGAGATTCCCTCTTGGCGTGTGAGAACTCTCGAGTCTTCCATCGAATTGCTTGGTATTTGCATTGTGGAATTTTTCCTCCTGGTTATTGTAATCAAAAGTGGCGACATTGAAATCTTGATCCATAAAAAGGAGATCAAATCCTGCCAAAGGTATATAACCTCCATCTAATCCGTGTGTTTGAGCTTTTTCTTAAGTTTCCATTGCATAGGGATGTCTACGGGTTATCCAACAGATACATTGTGAATCATACTTAGAGAAGCAACAGAGCTTAATTTGTGGCACTATGTTCAATTCAATGAGATTTTTTGCATTCATTGCTCCGGATGAATCCTTTCAAGAATAATAGTATGGTTATTGCCAGCGTTCTGAGACTCGGCCGAGGCAACTCAGACTCGGCCGAGGCGAGGAGAGTTTTGGGCGGGTCAGTTGTAAATCATATTTGTTTTAGTTTAAATATATTTTGTTTCAGTTTAAATATATTAATACATCAAATCTTAATTAGATGTGTTGAAGTGTCTTTTTGGTTAGTACAATCGCCTAAAGTTCAACCCTGCTAGGTTCGAATCCTCATAGTAGCAACCTTTTCCTACTTTTGAAAATATCTTTTTTTTGGAGCTTTAAAAAAAAATTAGACCCCTGCCTGAATGGAGGTATAGATCTCTTACATAGTGGCCTATTTAGGCGGAAAGTAATAACCGACACGGCAGCTATTGCTCGATGATAAGAATGTGAGACTTATAATATATAATAACTGAATTTTATCTTCTTTTTCTTAAAAAAAAAAAAATGAATTGGACTCGAGCGAGTTACTCAAACTCGTTTGAGTAAATCGCCTCGGCGAGGGCCCGAGTACCTTGGCCAAGGCAATTTTTTGAAACTGGTTATTGACTTCTTTTGTCATTGTTTTCCTGGGTTCACCCTCTCCTAGAGCACTAAAACATGGATTGATTTTCTTAATTCCCCTAAACGACGTGTCTTTTAAGAATGCAAACGCTTCAGAATAAATAGTTTAAGCTGCAGTCCTATAGCAACACCATATAGGCAAGTGATATTGGCAAACCCCAAGTTTTGTTTGAGAGACTCAAATGTGTTGTGGTCTTTGTGAGAGCAAGACAAAAGCATATCTACAACCCAAAAAAGAAAAGGACTTTGATAGACAACAAAAATTTAGTAGAGATGAATAAGTTACAGAGAGCTCATGGAGCCAAAAACGAAAAAGCTCCCCCCAAAACCTGATTATCTTCACCTTAGCAATCTCTTTAAATTCTCTTTAGAAATGATGACTTGTTGGAGACTGGTAATCGACATCCATTATATATTCATCCATGAGATCGGCCCGGTATTCTGGCATCCTCCAGCTCAATGCAGCCTTTGAGTGATACCCATCACTGATCAGCTGCAGTACCTGAAAGCCCACAAACATGGCTTTAAACTAAAAAAGTTTGACTTGGGTTTCAATGGACCACCACAAAAATTTTTTTCAGAGAAGTTTCTCTCGCTAACCTCAGTCATTGATGGGCGCCATATCGCTGATTGCCTCACACAGTAAGAAGCTGTGAGCACCAATCTTTGCACCTCTTCCATGTTGTATTTTCCTCCAAGTTTTGGGTCAACCAGTGCATTGATGTTTCCAGATTCTAAGAGGGGCTTTGCCTGCAAAGTAGGAATTTGTCAAAGTTAAAAGCATTTGTTCACCATTCATGGAATTAAAGATAATTCTATTAAAATTGAACAGAATTCTGAGTCCCTTTGAGCTTACCCATGAAAGTAGATTCTGCTTGGAAACATCGACAGGTCTCCTACCAGATATAATTTCCAAGAGGAGAACACCGAAGGCAAAAACATCAGTTTTCTCATCAACAATCCCATGCATGAAATACTCTGGGGCCAGATACCTGATTAAAGTTTTGGAATTAAATCAGAATAGTTAAGCTTTCACAAAATCTATAACGATTATCAGAAAAACTCTCTGTCCCTCTCTCATGACACATAACTCTACAATTTTCATTAAGGTGATTCCTATTAACAATGTACCTTATCTCATGATAGGTGCTTTCATTTGCTCAAACCTCTTTCTCGCTCTCTAAAAAATAGAAAAAAAAAAAGAGAGAAAAGAAATGGATTACACCTACATTACTTACCGTTGTTCTGCCATATGTGTGATTCTTGAACTTATGAATTATAAGCAGTAGGAAGATGAATAATGTAATTAATTTAATCTTACATTCAGATGAATAATGTAATTAATTTAATCTCGCCTTCAGGAAGCTTGAATGTATCCAAATAGACGTTACCCGAATGTGCCCTCTATTGGAGTTACAGAGTGGTGGGTCCATTGCTTTGGAAGCCATTTTGCCAGTCCAAAATCAGAAATCTATGGAAAGAAGAAGAAACAACTCAAATGCAGCTTCACATGAACAATTACAGAAAACCTTGAATACATTGACCAACTATGCTTTCACCTGTGGCTCGAAGTCTTCTCCAAGAAGGACATTCGAAGCCTTGATATCTCGATGGATAATGCGGTGCTTGCAGCATTTGTGAAGATAATGCAACCCCCTTGCCACTCCTGCTGCAATCTTGTACCTAATTGGCCAATCGAGCAACTCACTGTTTCTTCCTGAACATATCAGATTTACTTTCTTACTCTTAGCATACCCAAGTAGTAAAAAATAACTAGAGAGACAAACAAATAAGTGCTCACAGGTGCTATAGATCTCAACTTCTTGTTCCTACTGAGAGGGGGACTTGGCAATCCTATACACAATACAATACAATACAGCATCTTAAGATGCAAAGACAGAGACATAAGGGATCTAAGGTGCTATACATGCTATATCTTTACTCCTCTTTCGCACTAGTAGTGAAAGATCCCTACTTTCTTCACATACACAAGGGAACTAAATCTGCAATATAAACCTTCAATACATAGCAATGCAATTAATAGCAAACACTAAATAATGAATGAGGAGTTTCCACATTCCCAACTCCCAAAAGTATACTGTACTTTGATCGACTATAAATCATTTATACTTCCAAGATATATCTACCATGTATTCCCACTGATGGACAGTATGAAATTATCGATGAGAATGACCATAAAACTATACATAGTAAATTGCTGCTGGGCTTCAATGTAGCAATACTATAAAGTATACCGTATATGATAACATTGTACTTCAAGCTATATCCACCATCCATTCCCACGAATGATTGTCGGAGATTAACTGTGGTGAATGTCTCTATGGACTCCACTCAAGGTTACCATTAATCATCCAGCCGTGGAATAGTAAATGAAGCCTTGGAGTACCATAATACCATAGAAATTGGACTATGCAATACATTCCCTTTCAGAACAGAATTACTCAGTCGGCATATATGTTACCATGCAAAACTGATGCTAAGCTTCCATGAGGAGAGAAATTGAAGATAAGATGGAGTCCATTCTCAATGCAGCATCCTATCAGGTAAGCAGTGTTTGGATGGCACACATGCCCAATTACACCGAGCTCTATAAGAAACTCCTTTTCCTTCTTTTCGTCCATGTCTTTTGCTAATCTCTTTACTGCTATTGTTTTTCCATCAGAGAGGTATCCTTTGTAAACTTCTGCATATCCTCCTCTGCCCACAATATGCCCTGCAATGAAATCAAGGCTCTGTTTTAGAAACCATTTTGTTTAAAGCCAAACAGTAAAGTCCTATGGACTATGGAAAATCATTGTCCATTGTGGTCATGGCCACTTGATGAATGATGGAGAGTGATGCTGTAGGAGTGGGATCAAATGGTGGGTCCCACTCTGGCCCCATCAGAATCCATTGTTTTTGTACGGTGATGAGCCCACTGAACTACAGTTTCCTAAAGTTCATCATGCCATACAAGACTTTTCGATATCGAATTGAGAAATTGAGTCAGGAGTATAGAACCTGGGTGGAAATTATTTGTAGCTTGAGCAATCTCCTGGTAACTGAAACACCCCCATGAAGGTCTCGGATTCCCTTCACCAGGTAAAAAGCTCTTCTTCCCCTTCAACCCTTCTCTTTCATCATTTGGGATTTGGAAGAGAGAGAAAGAGAAGAGTTTAATTGTTGGGAGGTGCTTCCAAATGCTTGAACGCCCTTGCGGAGTGATACCAAGGCCGATCTCCAAAGACTTCGGCCCTTCAATTTGAGATTCACAGCTCGTGGAACTCTCTGGTGTAAACTGATCCTCTAAGTGGGTTCCTCCTCCTCCTCCTCCTCCTGGTCCATCTAGAACAGCTCTTGGAGAAGTCCTTCCTGATACATTATTGGTGTCAACTTGCTGGTTAATTGGTTTCTTACTCTTTCTAAATGAGTTCTCTCTGCTCAATTTTGAAAGGAAAAGCTTTGGCAGAGAGGAAACCGCCTTTCCAATATCCCTGTTTGATAACTTGGTGCTCAGCCAGTTGGACCTTACATCTGAAGCTGCGAAAAATACGATCTTAGTAACTCTATATGTGTTATCAAAGCAAACGCTACTCTCAACATGTTTTTATCACACAGGCACCCACAACTTGAATGTGCGAGCGCACACACACACATTCATAGAGAGAAAGAACCTTCAGAAGGAATTGGGTTTGGATCTGAATTTGGTTGAGGGAAGCCCCAGGCAGTTGGAGACCTCTTTCCAATGGCAATCACTGAACAACCTTCTGGGGCGTATTTGAAGCAATACTTTGTAATTCCAAGAGAAGGCCTGGATAAAGAAGACATTATTAAGTTTATTCTTCTCTCAAGGACTTCTAAACTGCATTTAACATTTTTTTTCATTAAACATTACCTCTGTGACTGGTTTCTTGAGCAACCTACAAGTAGAAATGTTGCTTGGAGAGACCCTGCTTCCTCCACTAGACCCTTCCCAATGCTAACACTCTGGCAAACTTTAGCCTCTACATTCACCTAAGAATAGCAGGACCAAATATATCAAATAAAACCTGAATTTCCATATGCTCAAAAACTAAAAACCTGTTTTGTCCCTCACAATTCTACCTGCTTAGACTGACAGAGTTCTGTGAGATCTCCAAGAGAAGATATCACAAACGCTTTTGCAAGGCGCATCCGTGTCTTCTCCGCTGCAATCATGTCAAGCTTCTTCTCATCCTTCCTAACTGAAACATGGGCAATGAAACCAAGTCCATGAGACCCAAGCTCTCTCTCAATCTCTCTCTCTCACACACAGAGAGACAAACACAGAGTTAAGATTATCTATACCGGACCAAAGAAAAGTTTGAATTATCCACCTTACTTTCTAAAACCTCGAAGTAATGGAGTGAAGGTAATTGTCTAAAAAAATATCTAGACAAGATAAGTATACCAAGAACATGGAGAGCCACCACTGTGTCACCGGGACGAGCAGCAATACCAATAGCCCATGAGAGAAGCTCTGTGCTCGACTCTTCATTAAGTGACACACCCACTAGTATTTTGGCAGTGGAAATCACCATATTGTCCAACTTGGTCTCTCTTATTTTTGCACTAAAGGACGCTGAGTGCTCTGGAACTTCTGAATATAGGAGAAGAAGGTGGTTTTCAGTTAATTTGTAACAGAGAAGCACCATGATTGGGGCTCAAAGGTGTAGGCTCTCCATGAAATTTTCTTAGTTAACAAGCATAATAAGCTTTCACTGTGGCTACATGTGGTTGGGTGCCTAAGATACTTTCAAACCATTGGTCGGTTGGATGCTTTCAAGTTTCAACTGGAAGCAAGGGCCAGAGAGGGAGAGAGAGAGAGAGAGAGAGAGAGAGAGAGAGAGAGAGGCTATAGAGCATGATATGTCTTCAGTTGGAGAGAGAGAGAGAGTATAGTGGACGCATGATGTCTTTTCCATTGAAGAGAGAGAGAGAGAGACAGAGAAGAAGGCCATGAAGCCATGCTATGTCTTTCCATTGAAGAGAGAGAGAGAGAGGATATGGAGCCATGATGTCTTTCCATTGTGGAGAGAGAGAGAGAGAGAGAGTATATGAAGCCATGATATGTCTTTCCATTGAAGCAAAATCACTCAATGCTGAAGTGCAAGTGAACCAAACTCTGGATAACCTTTTTGCTTTTGTGGGGTCAAGAGAGAAAGAAGGCTCTAAGCGAATGCCTTTTGGCTTCTTGATTTGATACGTGGAGGCCCTAAAGATTGGGGCATTTCTCTCTGACATTGTGACGGGGGAGGTCCCTCGAATGAGACTTATTTGGACGTTATGATTGACTTTGTATGAGTCAGTAGACTGCGTGGCCTATTGGGCGTTGGGGGCTAACCCAAGGTGACCCGACCTGGAATGTCGCCCATGGCCCGTGGGCCGCTCTGTGGTTTCCTTAAAAGCAATTGTCAAATGTTCTTGGGCTGGGACTTGGGCTTGGGCATGGGCTTGGACTTGGAGATGGAACAAGAAGCCAAGTGAGTACCCATGCCCTTTCAAAAGATAAAAGTGGAAGTCTAAAAAGCTCTCTTTTGTTTTATTTTATTTTGTGTTTTGTTTTTGTTTTTATTTTCGTTTTTTTTTTAAAAAAAAAATAAAAAATAAAATAAAAATAAAAAATTGAGCTTGTATCTCTATTAAATTTATTTTAGGATTATATACTATGAGATTATTTTTCGTTGTTACAAGGAGGTTACCATAAGTCCTAGCCGTTAATGTCAAATTCGATAGTTTGGGGTGTGTTATAAATTCAATTTTTTTTTCTTTTTGAACTTTAAGTCTAGTCAATAACACTCTTACAACCACCTGATTTAAAATTTGATGAATAATAATGATTATGACCTCCTTGTACTAAAAATAAATGGCTCGAGTAACTCCTAAAATGTTAGAATATTAAGGGGATAAAACAATACAAGTTTAGCCAACTGGATATCTATCTGATTGCTTCTTTTCTTTCTTATTGTTTCAGTGCATGAAAAACCTTAACAACTGTATTTCGGGTTTTAAAAATTATCTAGCTGACTTGGAATCACTTATGACAACTTAGAATTAGTTAGTGGCCAATTTCAATTTTATTGAGTTCACCTAGTCGAGGCCTCTCGCAAAATTGCAAATGCATACAGCAGAATCGCGATACAGGACAAAATACACCAAAATCTATGCATGTGTATAAAAGTGAAAATAACAAGCAAATTAATATATAGTGATATCAAGATTTTTACGTGGTTCACCTTTTTAAGCTATATCCATAAAAAAAGGAAAAAAAAAAAAAATCTACTATTTAAAATAGTTACAAGTTCTTTCAAGATGCAAGCGTTTTTTAACTCTCTGATTTCTTTTATATGCTTTTCTTCTCTAAGATTTTTTCATTGAGGTTTTTCTATCACGCAGATTTTTCTTCCCTTTATCTCTAATATGTTTCTCTACCTCTCTTCTTCTTTACGTAAGAAGGATCACTCTCTTAGGATTTATTGTATCTAAGGCTTCACTTTCTTCTTCTTCAGAAGACTCACTTTTCTATCTCTACTATAATGAGAGGTGTGCACCACTGGAAGAGGCACTCAACAAAAGAAAGAGAAACTCACACCAATAGAAACCCTAGGCCCATGTTTTAAGTTTTATGTAGAATGATGTTTGTTTCCTCTCTCTCTATATATAAAAAAGGTAAGATAAAATCTTTGACAACCAACTCACGTGAAGGATATCTTTGGATAACCACCTCTTTCAAATGTCCTCGAAATCAATAATTTAGTTTTCTAATATAAACCTTTTTATTTGGGCTAATGTCATTGGGGTTCCTCCCACATGGGATTGGTCACCCTGATAATCTCCCCCTCCTATCCCATAGGGGAAGTTCACCTTCACAATTAACTTGGTGCTTAGATGCACCAATGCCAGCCATGCTTTTGCATGACTCTTGTTTTTCTCTGGTAAAAGTCTCTGTCATCATATCTGATGTACTTTTGATGGAATGGATTTTCCCTAGTTGCAATAGTTTCTCACCCTTTTGCAGCTTGGACTACCATGAAACAACTCCCTTTGCAAAAGTAAGTTGGTATCCCGATATTGACATTCTAAAATCTAGTTCTCTAACCTACATTTGTGTACCCTTGCAAGACATGTTTGTCACCACCACAGCTCAAACACATTTTGAATATTTGAGATACTTGAATATCAAATTATTTGCTTCATGGTGTTTTTTGCCAAGATTGGCAATGAAAATGCTCACTACGCTAACTGCGTGTGCGATATCTAGCATCGTGCACACCATGTCATACATCAAACTTCCTACAGCCGACTCATGGGATACTTTCTGCATGTCTTCTTTCTTCCTTTTGGTTGAAGGGCTCTGTTTGTCACTTACTTTCCATGCCTTGTTACCTTTGGGTAACTTTACTAAGTCATAGGTGTAATTTTTATGCAAGGATGTAATCTTGTCTTGCATAGTTTTAACCCACACCCCTTTGTTTCTTTCAGCCTGGGCTTTATGTTAGCTTTGCGATTCACCTTTTCGGTGTATAGGACATACTCTAATGCAGGGCATATGGTATAATGTTTATGTATCATAAATCACATTTTTCAGTTCAATTGTAGATGACACTTTTTGAACATGCTGCTTCCCCTACTCCACATCACCTAGAACTGGCATTTCAAAATCTTGAGGCCCATCCTCTTATTGCACTTCTCTCCCATCTTCATGTACTATGGTTGAAGGAATTATGACTAGTTTTGAATAATTGAAGATTTATGGTTGTTTTGATTTCTTCACATCTTTAATGGTAATGCCTTTCTGAAAGACCACATCCCTACTCCTAATCACCTTCTTGTATTACGATCCCATAGCCTATAGCCGAACTATTCACCTTAGTACCCTAAAAAGATGCATAGAAGAGGTTTCTCATCTAACTTGGATCTTTATGCTTTAGGCATGTGCAATAATGCCTTGCACTCGAACACCTGTAAGTGTGAATAAGATATATCTTTGCCTGGTCAAAACTCCCTCTGGGATCTCACCATCTAGAGGAAAGGACAATAAATATTTATTAGGTAGCATGTTGTTAGGACTACTGCACCGTAATATGCCTTTGGTAACTTTATAGCGGATAGCATGCTCTTAACTCTCTCCATAATGGTATGATTCATTCTCTCTGCTACACCATTATGCTGAGAGGTATATGACACGGTTTTTTTGTACCTTATGCCATCCTTGGCATAGAGGATTTTGAAAGCATTTGAGGTATAACCCCCCCTTATCTGATCTGAGACACTTCAACAACTTGCATGTCTTCTTTTCCACTTTAACAAGAAAATTATGAAAGATCTCAAACACATGATCTTTGAATTTTATTAAATACACCCACACTTTTCTTGAAGCATCATCAGTGAAGGTGGCAAAGTATGATGTGCCACCAACCGACTTGACATCCTCGAGACCAACTTTTGATCAGGATTTTCGTATCTTTCGAGCTCTTACTTGAAAATGAGGCTCTATGTTGTTTTCTTAGCAATCAATGATTTCATGGGGTCAGAGATGCATTCTTGACATTGAAAATAATCCACTTCTTTGCTAAGATTTATATTCCCTTTTTACTCATATGGCCGAGATGCATGTGCCAAGGGTCTAGTGAGGGTTCTTCCATGGCGGCGTTAACTTTGCCATTAGAGGCTTGCACCTGTGTTCTATAGAGTGAGCAACACTTCTTGCCTTTTGCTATGACAACAGTTTCCTTTTGTCAGATTCTAGTGTCCTTTACTTAACACCGAGGGCTACCCTTCATCTTTTAAACCCTTTTCTGAGATGAGGTTAAGATGGATATTTAAGTCGTGTTGACATCTTTTAACACCAGCTTTATTCCAATTTCAGCCTTGATGTTTACATCTCCCTTACCCACAATCTTTGAGGGACTATTGTTCTCCATCTCTACAGAACCAATACTTCTCGTTCTATTAGAAGAAAAATAGCTTAGTTTCTATGTGAGTTAATATGTAATGATGCTCACTTATCTATAACCCATCACCATAATCTCTGACTACACCAGCATTTGTAGTCACTGTAGTTTCCCTGCTATTATTCTTGGTATTATCCTCACTCCACTCTTTCTTGAGCTTCCAACACTCTTTCTTGTTGTGTTATTCTTTGCTACAAAAAACATGTGATCTCATTTCTCGTCTTCGATCTAGCTTTATCATTAGATCAATTTTAGTCTCTATTTCCTAGACCTCCTTACTTTGTGACAAGAGCTTGCGAATTCAATGTGTCAGAGGATCTTCTTCTCATCTCCTCATTTGGAAGGTAGCTAATGACCTGACTCATGGTCATTATTCCATTAGGTGCTGAGTTACTCGTAAGGACAACAGGGTTTCCCAACTGTCTAGTAGTAATCTGAGTAAAAACAGAGCTTGTAGTCCATCTTTTAGGAACAACTTCATCGTTGCGAATTGGTTAACAATGCTTGGCATACCATTCAGGTGCTTTGTAACGGATCCCCCATTCTTGAACTTCATGTTCACAAAGTTTTTTATCAAGAACACCTTATGTCCGGTGATCTTTCTTCATATAAATCATGTAGCTTATCCCACAATGATTTGGCGGATGTCTCCTTATTGGAACATACTTTTGTTCAACCAATGTTGGATAGTTCCGAGAGCCTTTCAATCTAGTGTCTTCTACTCATCATCAGTTATACCTTCAGGCTCGTGTTCTACCCCTTCAATGGGTGTGTATAAGTCTTTACAGTATAGAAAATCTGTCATCTTCGACTTCCAGATGGTCCAGTTATGCTCATTGAGCGTATTATCCTGCTTTCGGTATTAGAATTCTTCTTTAATCGACGCATATAGTCTACCATAGCCTCTCTTCTCCTT